ATCAATCAACCAATGCTCGATCGCCTCACTCAAGCTCTACCACCATTGGATTGCCATCTTGAAGTCTCGCCACCGCCAAACCGCCAGCATCAAGCTCCACCACCGTCAATCCACCACCGTCAATCCACCACCATCAAGCTCCATCGTTGTCATTGAACTCCCCCACTGTCAGACAATCAATGCCTAACCACATAGGAGAAGAGCCATTTTGAGAAAAGAAAGCCATTTAGAAGATCTGTACCTTATTTTCTCCATTTTTTTCTTTGATTTCTCTTACTTTGAGAGTGTGCATTATGAGGAGTGGTGAGATTGTGAGGCATTATGTTGCTTGTATGTGGGAGATAAAAAAAATTATTGTGCGAGGAAGATCATTGTGTATTTCAAGTAGAGGCACTCCAGTTTAGGTTTTCCATATAATTTCAATAGAATTTTTTATGTTTTCTCAACCATGTGTAGTAGTTAAGTGTTTTCATACTCTTCTGTTTTGAACCTTATTTTCTCCATTAGAATTTTCTAAACTTAATAAAACTTTGATAAAAGTTGGCGTGTTAACTTTTTGAACTTCATTTATTTCTAAATTGATGATTTAGAAAGTTATTATAATCACTTGTAATCTAAGACATTTAACTGTTTTCTAGAAGAATGAGTAGGTTAACATACAATAACCCAGTGGAATAGATATATTGTCAACAGTGGATTACAACCTAAATAGGAGACTAAGAGAATCTTTAGAAACTTGGCATTGCTAAGTCTCATTAATTATAATATCAGTTTTTCAATGCTTCTCATGACCTTGATAGAAGTTGAGAAGGATTTGGCTCTAGTTGTCAATGAAAATCTTGGGAGACTCATTGAAAGAATATAGAGAACTCATACCATATAATTCAGGGGAATATTATATTTTTCATCTAATCGAAAATCCTTCAAAAGTAAGGTTAAGTTTTCATTATTGTAAATTAGATGCATCGCAAAATCAAAAACTTTGAATGCTTCGGACTAAACTTAGGGTTCAGTAAACTAGAACTTTGACCAATTAGGATATTTATCTAGTTCCCTTGAGATTGTGTGTGTGTGTGTGTGTGTGTGTGTTACATGTAAATACAAAAGAATCGAGTGGTATTTGTGTAAATGCCCCTTTACTTTCATGTGTGTGTATGAGTATATGTGATATAATATTTATATGTGTGTCTGCTCGTATATATACAGGCACAAATGTATATATATATTTATAAATTATTTAACCCTACTTAAATGTTATTCGAACTTTGTTCAATCATAATTTGATCTTTACTCAAATTATATTTGAATTATATTCAAATTAAGTTAAACTATGTTCAAACATTTATTAAATCCATTCAAACCTTGATCGAGTGATATTTGAACAATGATTAAACTTTGTTAGAGTATGATTCATACAAGGTTTGAATAAGGGTAGACCCATGCATGTGATAGGGTAGGCAATTGTCCACCTTAAAAGTAGAAAATTTTCTTAATAATATAAAAGTACTTTGTAAAATGCCTTAATAAAATTTCCCTCCCTATGACGTCAACTAATGCCAAGCCAACAATGCTTGGATGAGCCTCCCATTCTCCCTCTCTTCCTTACTCTTAATATCAAAGGCCAACACCTCATGAGTTACGCTCGCACATCACTACTACATCTTCATCGAGGGTGAAATAGTGGCTAATGCTAGTTTCTACCTTTTGAATAGATTCTCATATGATTAAAATTTCCCCAATTGGGATTCAATTGATATTCAAATCTTGGCTGAATCATTATTGATAGCCACAAGCTCTAATCAAGTACTCTACGATACAAAAATGATTTTATTTTGGTTCACAGAATCACAAATAACTTTTAAGAGGCATTTATGTGGCTAAAAAGATAAGCAAAATGCATATTTCTCTAAGCACAACAAAAAAAAGGCAGCAATGCAAACCAACAAGACCAATGACTCACCTAAATGTGCCTCTCCCCCACTCTAGGCCAGCTATAGAGACAAGCCGAAACAAGGATGGCACAGGTGATCGTTCCAGCTTAACCACACACAAACTGGTACGAGCAACGAATATGAAAGACAAAATGCAAATGGTCAAGTGCAAAGGGCTAATTGTCATAAAGGACTAAATGTGATTATAAAAGGCTGATTGCAAGTATAGAAGGTTTTATGATCTACACTTATTTCTAAATAGATGTTACCCCCTATAAAAGGAGGAGGATTAAATATAAAATGGATTCCCAATTTTTTGATCCAATCTCTTATTGTTGGAACCATGTTCATCCTTGTAATAACTCAACTCCACCATGTTCATCCTTGTAACACTCACAATTCACTCCCCCTAATAAATCTTCATTTATTTTCAACCAATATGCTATTGGCTCAAATATATATATTCTCTTCATTGATCAAGGAAAAAAACAAAGGGTGCTACTCATCTTAGACAACCGCATCATTTATTTTACTTTCCGAAGTAGCCTTTTAACTGATAATAGCTAGAATGATTTCACTCATAGCCCCGTGAACCATCACTTGGATTGAGAACCAACCATGTTAAATTGCATGTGAACCCACCATGCACTTTCATGTCACATCCCATAAAGTGGCACCTTCAGACAGAGATAACGACACCTTTCTTATATATTTATATATCTATGACTTGGAACTTTAATATTTCAAATGCATAGAACATCATTTGAAAATAAAATGAAAATTTTTAAATATATATATATAAAAATATGCCGTTCCTAATGTTAAGGAGATCTAAGAGTTTAGAAGAAAGAGTATGATGGGGGATTGGTCGCTGACAAAAGAATATGAGACCCGCTTATCTATCTGAATGCAGCAGTCCGAGCTAAAACCAGCAAGGAGAAAACTGACCGAGCCACGAAGTGGACAAAAAAGGCAACCAAATGATTTGAGTTTCAACTGTTTGATCACAAATGAGAGAGACGTCCGGGCAAACCACCACGAGGAAGCCGGCCTGATGGAAGACACAATTCCTCAGCATCATATCAAAGATATTTGGAGTCCGTCCATCAGTTATCAAGAGTCGAAAACCAAATTATATCAATTGACTGGCAACAAAAACAACAGGCCCAGCCAACTGAATCAGTCATGTCGATCCGAAGCCTATCAAGTAAAGTCAATAGAGCTAGAGAGCAGTCGAGCGATAAACTTATACATGGAGAATGCTAAAATAGCATGTACATCCCATTTTAAATCATTGATAAAAATGTAACATCATATTGTTGTATTCTCTCCCGTATAAACAAGAAAATAATTTTGTGAATAAAGGCACACTGTCTACTCTTCATTAATGTTCACTCATCTCTCACTCAAAGACACACACACACTCTCTCTCTCTCTCTCTCCTCACGTTTTATTCCGTGGGTGTGATTCACAAACATATTAGGATTCAATATTAAATATCAACTTTGAGTGTTCATCATGCTAAAAAAAATCTTAATATTTACATACATAATAAAAATATTATAAATATAAATGTTAAATTTTAGAATCTAAATATGCAAATACATAAAATTAGCAAGTTATAGAGATTCATAATGTATTCAAATATTCAATCTTATTGCTTGAGGTGTTCATATAGTTAACAATGATGCATATAGAAATAGTATAATATAATACAATTGCATATTTAAGTGTTTGAATAAGAATTAATATAACGATACTTTAAAATGATCATATTATAATTATTTTCTTAAGTTAAATTTTAATGATAATTAAATTAAAAATTAATAATTAGAATGTTATTCGAATTTAAATCTTCTAATTAGAAAAAAAAATAGTGTCAAAATAGTCTCATATTATTGTTTAAATTAAAACTAAAAATCTTCATTAAAGACTATTAAAATTCAATTTTAAATGATTAAAATTTATTTAAATATTTCTATAATTTTAGGATTACAATAATACTATATAAATTATAAGAACTATTTTGACATAAAAAAAAAATTTCTCTATAAATTTCTACACACTATTTACTAGGGTTGTCAAAACAGCTCATCATTCGCAACAACTCGTGTTAGGCTCATTAAGTAGCCTGCGTACAATTAGTCAATAAGCAAACGAGTCAAATACAAACAAAAATTTTTTTCATTTATATCCGGCTCTTTTTGACTTGAAATAGTTAAATTAAATTATATAGTCAATTAAAATTATTAATTAAACAAATAGAATAAATATACTTTAAATTTTATTTAGATAAATATTTTAATATAAACAATAAGATTTAAATTTCACCCCTAGTCTTAACATCCTACTATTGTTGAGTGACTGAAGATGACTCAAAATGACACATGGTTCGCGAGTAACTTATATTCGGCTCACTGAACAAACGACTCAAATACAAATAAAATTTTTAAACTTCATGTATTAACATTACAATAACAAATAATAATATTTTTTAAAGAACCATAAGCTCGGCTAATTTACAGCACTGCCACTAAGACGAGATCCTCCAATAAAATAAACACATTTGATTAATATAATTTTTTTTATTTTTTACAAATATTTAAAAAAATTAAATTATTTTCAGTGTTTAAAAATAGTTATTACAATAAAACCTATTTTAATTCAAATTAAAATATAAAAATAAAATAAAATAAAAATAATAAGGGAAATTTAAAAATTAATAGTAATTTGAAATAGCACCAAAATTAATGATATGTTTACCGAAGATTTAGAAAATAATGTCTTCTTAAGTTTCTTATATTATGTTTTAAGATCGGATGGCTTACATGCATATCAAATCATTTTCATATACTTTCATATCTAAACCTAAATTTTAATTTTTATATTTAATTTTCTATTATAATA